GCATTAATAAGGAAGAATAAGAAGCCATTGCTGCTTTAATGGTTTGTATATGGATTTAGTTTAGTTTGTATAGGAGGTGGGGTGGGGGAAATGGAAGAGGAAGGTGCAGCATATTAACTGGTTAATATTATCTAGTTTTGAAGTGCGGATTCAATACAACGTTAAATGCTAGGTTGTTGTCACCATTTTATTTGTATTGTAAGAGCATTTTCAAAAGACTTTCTATTTATAAAGAGCATCTTATGTATAATAGAGTGTATCTTTAAATTTAGAGAGTAATTTTTTTATACACTTCAATAAGCTCTCTATTTTGATTATTTATTTTATTTTTTTAAAATGAACATTTAATAATTTTTCCACATATTTTGTTTAAATATAATTTTTTTACATATTAATGACCAATAAATTCAAATGTAATTTGAAAAATTCAATTTGTAGAGCATTGAAATTTGTAATTTATTAAATGAAATCATTGTACATAAAGAATAGAGAGTGCGTTTGACTCTCTAAATTTGGAGAGTGAAACATACAACTCTATTTTAAAAAGTTAAAATAGTGAGTTTTGAAACTTATTTTTAAGTATTGACTTTTTAAAATAGAGAGTATTTTGTATTTAAAAAGTCTCTTAGAAATACTTTAAGCCAATTAAAATTCATTTTTCTTTAATTGGAGTTTTTAATGACATGTTGGACAAAGTGCAGTTGATGGGTAGATGAAAATTAATGTAAGTTGTGTAGGTATTAAAAATCTAGTTACTTAACCCCCATTTGACCCCAATTCAGTCCATGTTTGTCATTCATTTTCTCTCATTCTTTTCAATTATTTCTTCTACAGTATTCATTTTCAATTATATATTTTTCATTAAAATAATATCACACGTAAATTAAAAACTTTCTTTTTTAATCACACATTTCAACATTAATCATTATTCCATAATACATTCTTCCCAAATGCAAATAATGGGTGACAAACACACTCTAAATTACATTCAATTTTTCTCCTTCATATTTTCAACAACACAATTTTCTATAAAATAATATTACACGTAAATCGAAATTTTTCTTTATTTTTCAACCACTAATTCAAGAAAACACTATTCCACTCATTTTCATTTTCAGAAAATTGGAGACAAACAAGAGCTTAATTTTTTATATTAGATCTGGCGATGATTTAATGGAGCCCAGAGGAAGAATTCGTGTAATGATCGAATAAGGTTTAGCCCCCATTTGATACTTTGAGGGGCAAAGGAAGATTAACTGTCTCGGGCACAGACTCTTGGATTAAATCCATTTTCACTCATTTTTAATCACATTTTTTCAATAAAGTAATTTTTCTCGAAGACCCATAAATTTTTCCTACTTTTTAACGATACATTTTCCCCAAAAAAAAAAAAAAATTTGAAAAGGCATGCCGTTAGTTTATTCTGTATATAGGATCACGATTCACAATAAGCAAGATTTGCAAAATTTTTGAAACACAATAATGAACCATTTTATTAGAATACAATGACTAGATTGTTAAATTATTTAAACTATGAAATTATTATTTTATTTTATAAAACCTTTGTTTTTAATGTCCAATTTTACTTTTCGTCTAAATATCGCATTTACATGTCCTATACGTTTCTTGGTTTCGTGCAACCTTAATAAGTGAAAATTAGTTCGTTTTGTTGAAAAACATTTTCGGAAAATCTACTCAAGTCTATGGGATGCAGAAGAATGGGCTACGCGGCATGGTCTGGTTAAAACGAACTGGACTTTGTCACCCTTTACTGCTGGATACAGAAATTTTTCTGCAGAAGCTTGCGTTTGGTCATACAGAACTAAATCTTCTGCTTGTAATTCTAATGACTTTAAGTCAAAATGATGGCTAAAAACGGGGTTGGATTCAAAAAGCCGTGCAGAAATGAAAAGATTGCAGAGGAAGCATATGGTATATGACTATTGTATGGATAAATGGAGATTTCCTAAGGGTCCTGGAAGAGAATGCAAATTTCAGTATACATGGATTTGATATAGATTCATTTATCCTAACAATCACTACAACAAAGTGTGCTTTTTACTACATACACTGTATGTATGCCGTAAATAATATTTTACAACATACAGCAACATGTAGTATAAAGCAATGCCATAAAAAGTGAGTCATTTTTTTATGGCGTGCATAGTACGCCATACAAGGAACTCCGTTAATCATAAAAATGACATGCAAATTTATACGTCGTTTATATTCCTTACACGGAGTTCATAAACGTGAGATACTTTTTACAGCATGCAAATATGCCATAAAAATTAAGTTCATTTTCACAAATGAGCATTCAATTTTTAAAAAATTATTTATTTATTTCATTACCAATAAACCTGTAATAATTACAAAACAAAATTAATCCATATACAATCAAGTTTTCAATTGTTTCGATAAATAGAAACATTGAGTACGATTCAATATAATATGTCAATGTAAAATTCATCTCAACAATTCTACAAAATTTTCGACTACTATTGTTTGTGCTAATTACAATTCAACTAATAAGCCCATGGATATTGAGGTTTCATCATAACAAAAAATGATTAAAACATATCAAAGTTCACTTCTCTCACTATCAATTTAGCTAACCCACAAAATATCAATTCTCTGCACACCACAGAAATAATAAAAATATAATTAATAAACATGGAAATCAAAAGTATATCAAGAAATATATTAACTTCTATCTAATCAACATAGTATGCATGATAGTAATTACTTGAATATATTGTTAGTAAAACTATAAAGTAAATTTGATTAGCATATGATCTTTAACAGAAATACATCTATAAGCACCATACCTTTCAAATAAATAAATAAATAAATAATTAATTAAAAAAAATAGATTAAGGATAGGACTAGAATACTAACATATAGAGCCATAAAACATCAACACATAAAAACAACCCCTTGCAATTTAACTGCCCATTAGTTACCATTAATTGGTAACAATTTCTTCAATTTTTGATTGCTAGCTAGCTAGACATTTGTTTTGTAGATGTCACTCTTTCGAAATTCATTTTTTTCAACGAAGTTCCTCTTATTGAAAGTTTGCATAGTCAATTAACTTTGGCTATATTATTCGAAAGTTTCGCACATGAATGATTTTAATAAATAGATGATATTTCGACTTGAATTCAAATATTGAAATACGTGAAGACGAACACAGAAGTTACTAAGTTGATGCGGTTATAAGTCCTAGGTTATTCCAGGAGCTAATAGAAGTTCCTAGAGTGTCCCATAGTAGTCACCAATATGTACTAGTACTTTTCTTCATCATTAAAAAATTTACCTACAAAAACCGTGTGTCAAATTTCGCTCTGTTCCAAAGTCAAAAATATTAGTAGCAAATGAATTTCTTATCATCTTGAACATTTGGATATTCAATTTCACGGGCTTGATCTCTCGTTCATAGTCAGCAGGAAAAACTTTGCTTACTGGCTGTCACGACAACAGGTCAAGCCGCTTATTTTGACAAATAAAAAAAGGTTTGAATCATCGGCATGGTAATGCCACTTCAACAGATGGACAACATAACTTCAGTCTACTATAAAGATGGGACCAATTCTATTCAATTTCAGTATCAAATTTTAGTAGAGTTCATTTATTGATTAAAAAGTGGATATTCAATTTCCACGTTGAGATCATTATTATTTTTTTTTATTGTGAAGAACTTTATTTATATATTACAAAATTTCTCTTGTTCTTCGAGAATTAAAACTTTATTTAAAACTTAAGTCGTGAAAGAGACTGAAAAGGCATAGACTAGTTAGTGGTAACAAAAGCACTCAAGATTTGGACACCAACGCCAACTAGCATAGGAGTGGAAATCGAGAATTTCCAGGTGTACACAGCCTTACAACTTCAAGCTTCTAAGACGCTTCTATTTATAAATTTCTCCATTTACATATACCCATCCAAACTAACAACATTTTTCTTCATCCATAACGAAAAGGTTGTTCTTTTGTTCAATTTCACAAACCAAGAATTGACTAACCAATGGTTTCTTATAACTATTCTATTTCATCAAATGTTGTAGTTCTTTTGTTGTTGATGCTATGCACCTTTGGCTCTTTTCTACTAGCTCTGCTGGTAACTTTTTTAAAGATTTTGATATGACATGGGGCGATGGACGTGCAAAAATGCTCGATAATGGCAAAATTCTCAATCTCTCCCTCGACAAAGCTTCCGGGTCTGGCATACAATCCAAGAACGTGTATTTATTCGAAAAGATCGATATCCAACTCAAGCTTGTTCCGATTAACTCTGCTGGCACTGTCACCACTTACTATGTAAGTCTCAAAAAGCCGCTATGCTGATTCTGAAATCATCTCGTTTAAAAGTTTACTTATTTTATTCCTCCCATTGTACTGTGCATTATGCATCTGTCTTCTCAAGGTCTAAACCATGATGAGATAGACTTTGAATTCTTGGGAAATCTTAGTGGTGAACATTACATTGTTCACACTAATGTGTATACACAAGGCAAAGGTGACAGGCAGCAACAGTTCTACCTCTGGTTTGATCCCACTGCTGATTTTCACGCTTATTCTATTCTCTGGAATCCTCAAACAATCATGAAAGTATACTACAAGACATAGCGTTATCGACACAACTAGACTGTTTAGTGTCATCGAGTCGACCACTAATTATTTTTTTAAAAATTTTTTAAACTCATTTTCGTACATCTTGGTTTCTTGTTTTCAGTTTCTACATTGATGGCAAACCAATCAGAGTATTTAACAATCTAGAATCGCGTGAAATTTCGTTCCCAAAGAACCAGCCAATGAGGGTTTATTCGAGTATGTGGAATGCAGATGATTGGGCAACAAGAGGTGGCCTTATAAAGACTGATTGGAGTCTAGCTCCATTTGTAGCTTCTTTAAGAAATTTCAAGACCAATGCTTGTGTATGGAAATCTGAAAAATCTTCTTGCAAGAATTCATCCTCAAAAACATAGTCCTCACAAGAGCTTGACCCTGAAAGTCAAGAAAGGCTGAAATGGGTGTATACAAAACGGTTCCCTCTGGGCCTTCCTCAAGAATGCACTTCCAATACTATAAGCACCAATTAGAGACAGGAAAATAAGTAGATATATATTGTGTAAATTTTCTTTTCTCCTAGGCATATTTTGGGATTCAAGAAATAAATGCTGCCACAGGATCAGTATCTTATTTTGGTAATGTAAGTACAATTATTCATACATTAGTATAAAACAGATGGATTTTTTAAAATGGACTTCTTACAATGAGCAATGTAGAAAATAACCTTAGGTTTTATGTTCTTGTTTAAAAGGCCTTTGAAAGCTCTTATTTAGCCGATTTATTTTGACCTTACATGCAGAATTAACACAATTAAAAGCAACAAGTCACTTTTTACATTAGATAGAAATGTAATTAAAGTTTAATTACCTGATTAGAATCTAATTAAAGTTTAAATACCTGAACAAAAATAGAATACACTTGCACGATTTACAGTAGATAGAAATATAATTACTACGAATGGAATTTCCCTATGGGAAAATTTCATAAGTAAGAAATTAATTATAACACATTTCAAAAACAAGAAAACAAGTTTCAAATTTCAAAAATCAGATTTTTATTAAAAATTATTTATAATTTAATTAATTAATTAATTAATTTAGTAATTAAATATATTTATGTTACATATTTATATAATTTAGTCACAAATTAACGATTTAATTCGTCACTTATTATTTTTTAGTCACAAATCAGAAATTTTACGTCACGATTTACTTTACGATCACAGTTTAAAAATTTTATAAGTCACAATTTATTCATCGGTCACAAATTGAAAAATTTATAAGTTACGATTTATTTATTGATCATAGATCACAAATATTACAATCACGGCTTATTATACAGTTACAAATTATCAGTCACAAATTAACAATTTTTTAGGTCACATTATTTTTCGGTCACAATTTATCTTTTTCATTAGTCATACATTATTTTTAGGTCACAATTTATCTTTTTCATTGGTCATATATTATTTATTGGTCACATATCAACCAATTTAATAGTTACAGTCAACCAAATAATTTGTGACCACCACCAATACTTACAATTCACAGTCATAATTTTCAAATCACGTATTCAATTGTGAGTCACAGTCACAATTTTCAGGTCACGTATCCAATTGTGAGTCACAAATCAACCAAACCGTCACTACCATCACCATGACCACCAAAACCGCTAGGATCAAATGTGACTCCCAAATTGTGAGTTACAATTGAGAGTCACAATCACAAGTTTCGGGTCACGTATCCAATTATTTGTCACAAAATCAACCAAACCTTCGTGACCACCACAACCACCGCCACAACCATCACACCACCGCCACACACACCCCGCACACTGCCCCACACACGCACCCCCCTACAGTAACACCGCCACACCACACCCATCCCTACAACACTACCACACCACACGCACACAACCGCCAGAGTGAAGCCACTACAACAAAGCCATCGCCGTTGCCAGAGCCACCACAACGCACCATCCCACCCACATCACACACCACAGCCCACACGAACAAAACCACCATCACCCATCGCCACTAACAAAATCCAACAAATTCGCCATCGAGAATCCACCATTACCACCACCAACAAAACAACCGCCACCCCAAATCCAACAAATCGCCGCCATAGCCACCCAAGCACCACCAACAAATCGGATTCTCAAAATCACCATTGCCAGAACCAGAAGGCTGTTGGATGTGTGCAGTCATGTCGGCGCCATCATGCGTGGCGCTCGCCCTCCGGTGATTTGTGTGTAGATCACCTTCGTTAGTGGTGGTTGGTTGCGTCTCATTGAAGGAGAAGGCGAGAGATGGGGAAGAGGCTTAGTGAAGGAGAAGCCAATAGGCAACATCATGTGCGGTGCTCGCCACCAATGGTTTGCGTGTGGATTGCCTTTGCTGGTGGTGGTTGGGGAAGCTCAATGAGGCAAAAGAGGAGAGGTGGTGTATCCACTCATGGAAGGAGAAGACGAGATGGAGGGGAGAGAGTATTAGGGTTTGGGGTTGAAATTGTGTGGTAAATGAATTATTAAGCAATTAAACATATCAACATCTGATTTTTGAAAGGTTAAACTATTCATCTTATTTTAGAATTGTGAATTTTTAAAGTAGGGAAATGTGTAATTTCCACTTTCGCTATTATAAATTGTCGTGTATCCCTTTTAGTGTAATTGGGCTTTGGCACCGATCACTTTTTGATGTCATAGGATCTTAGTTATCAAAACTTGATTCGATTATTAATCCTGTTAAATTTCTGAGTTAAAAGACCGTTGGTTTAATTGACGGATCAAAAAAAATGTTTGTTGATATGACATTTTACCAATTTAGTATTCTGTCACGTTATGCAGCACTTAATCCAATGTTCCCTAAATTAAACAAAAACAGACGTTTGTTGACATGAAATTGGACTAGTTCTCTTTTGCACATGCCTTGCACTATTTAGGTTAATGCTTTATTGAAATTTGTTAGTTTTGTCAAATTTCTTGTCACGTGCTTTTGTCAAATTTTTACTAGTAGGCAACGTGGGCAAAAAGATATGTCACTTTTTTTCTCTCCTTTTTTTTTTTTAAATGACGGGAGAACTGCAGCCTCTATCCTTCGGGTGTACACTGGGTAAACCCTTGGGTTGACGCAATAGTCTGCAAATCACGTCAGTCAGTTAAATAGCACTACGCAAGCTCGGTGCGACAGGCTCGATCGAGAAAGTGTTAAGAGGTGGAATCGAGCTCGTGATTAAAGGTCTCCGTGCTATCCCACTCTACCAGCTCGGTCACCCCATGAGAGACAATCACACACACTATTTTGCTCTATATTAAAAGTTAAAAGTGATATGTTGAACACTCCAAAATAATTAGAGTTCTCAATTTTTAGAGTGTCATTTCTATCTAATATCTATAATCAGAAACTATCTTGTTTTATCAAAGCTCAGGCACCGTGAGTAATTAAATGCAAGCTATCATTTTGTCCCTCGATATGATTTGTCAAATTCTTGTTGAAATGCGACACGTTGTATCACTTATTAATTAACAATTTTTTAAATAAATTTTTGTTGCTTTAAAAATTAGCTTGAAAGTACATATCAAGAAGTGACATGCCTTGTTATTTTTTTATTTTTTTCAAAACGACATACTGCAATTATTATTGCGGCTGTAAAATCAAATTTGTAAAAGGTAAGCAAGTGATTTTGCAATAATTTCAAATAGACGGGGCATCTTTCTCCAAAGGAACATGCAGCTCAAGAAATGAAGGTTAGGACAGAAGCATACATTGTGAAGTGAGAAAGAGAACAAAAATTCCATTAACTGATCAGTAGATCGAATATACGATGGTTTGCACTTGAAACACCTTGATCTATATCTCGACTTATTGAATTTGCACTTGGCACAACCTCACACAACCCTAAAATCTAGCATTGTCATTTCCTTGAACACTCATTTGGTTGAAATGAGTAATCAAAACTTAAAATATTCTTGTTGAGTATATGGAGAAGAAGAGAAGATAATGTTAAATTTCAATATTTGGGCTACTTTCTTTTTCAATTTTTCTGAATCATTTCTTCTTGTTGTAATTTGTGTTTATGGTGTTCATTTTTCAATAATAGCTTTGAATTCATTTTATTATTAAATTAGAGTTTTGATATGGGTTGCTTTTTAATCTTTCTTGTTATTTCTTATTTTTGAAGTGAATATGTTGATAAACACATATTTGGATATTCTGTTTGTTGTTCTATTGTGAAACATATATTTTATTTTCCCCTTCCAGAACAACTTACGTATCGTTTTCTACAACCCATAACAACATACCTTTCATTATCAATAATGTACGAAGTTCAATATTTGATGAAATTTTAAAATTTTCATGTTGAATTGCAATTATGAACACCGTAGATATGTTGGGGATTTAGTTTTTTTATTTAATTGAATATAAGCGGTAAGTTAAAAGTGCTTGGAAATGGAAATATGCAATGAATGACAAAAGGAAAAATGTGCTTATTCTCATTTTGAAAACAATTTCTTGTGTGAACTTGTATGATAAAATCAGAGAGGTGTTGATAATTGATACAATGCTATACAAAATAAAGATGTCAACTCTTGTCCCTATAATGTCTAAGGCTCCAATTGTAAGAAAACTAGTCATATTCGCCCCATTTATAAAGGTAAAATAGTTGATAGTGAAATTTAAAGTTGTAATATTGTCGTAATTTGTAGCTTTATTATTTTTGTACTTATTGAAAGTACAAAATGATTTATTAGATTTTGTAGTCATTGTGCTATTATCACTATTGTGCAATTGAAACAAAATTAAAGTCATTTCACGTTGCCGTGTTATTTCACATTACAGACAAACGACTTTTATATTGTTATAGCTAACGCATGTGTCGTTCCAGTATAAAAATACATAGATTCACATAATGACATTAACAACGTTCATGAGATACAAAGTGATATTGATGTCGTTCCAGTACGAAAATTACACTAATTCACATAACGATATTGAAATCATTCCTGAAATATAAAACGAAATTGAAGTTTCAATATAAAAATTACACTATCTTACGGATTTTCATAACAACATTAAAGTAGTTATAGACCAATAAAACAACATGGAATGAAAGACGTTATATAAAATACTTGCATAACACATGCGACATATGAAACCATCACGTGCGCGTCCAATGGACCATTTGCTTTCTCGGGTTGTAAACAACTCGGAGAATTTTCTTGGAGTTAACGTTTCATCCCCAATCTTTTGTTTTTCATTTAGTGGAGACTTTCATCATGCAATTTTCTAAAAAGACAAAAAATCAGAAGTATCAAACTCAAGAAATAACATAAACAACATCCGTATCTTTTCAATACAAATTTGATGAGATTGAAATCGCTCATGTTCAAATCATAACTAAAATGACAAAGATATTGTTTTTTAATATGGAACGATATTGACATCACAATGTATTAAACTCATGAAATAA